GCTCAAATTTTGATGGCAAACATGGCCGACATCGCGAATGGAATAGGACGAGATGGGTTCGAACAGATAGAATCAAGTGAAATTCAGGAATTGCTTGAATCGCAAGATGAAGATTTGACTGAAACCGACTTGGAGGAAATGTTAAATTCACAACCTATTGAAAAAGAGGCTTCAACAAGCACTGGAAACGTGGTATTCAATTTGAAAAATATTAGTGAAGGTTTAAGAATGGCAAATGAGCTCTGCGATTTCTTTATGAACATCGATCCGTCTATGGAACGAAGTCTAATTTAGAGCTTTTACTGTATGTATTTTTATTGTAGCTATAGTTCCTAAGCTGTCCCTTATAGAGGAATAGATAAGTGTCAGCCTCACTTACGGAGGTTAATGAAGTAAAATCGACTTTCTCTTACAAATATTTCTGTTTCTCGCTAGTACAGGTTTTGGGAGCTTAAAATGACGGGTCCGGAGTGTTACTCTCACTTGTAGAGTTTTCTCACTTATCCAGTTCTCACTTATCCAGGTTTGACTGGATTTTTTGACTTTGATTTATGCTTACGACCCGGAAACAGAAGATCAATCGACCGAATATCGTGGCAAAGGTGAGCTGAAGCCGAAAAGAACACGTCAAAGCCGGTCAAAAATCAAGATTACTTTGAGAGTTTACAACAAGAAATATTATTAACACTATAAGTGTTATGCTTCGTTTGCGCATGGCTATTTGTAAAAAAAATCGGAAATATGAGCCTACAATGACTAGTTTTTGCCACAACATAATGCACCGTCGAGTTCTGCATTGATTCCTCGTGAGTTTTTCGCCTAATTTTCAACCCACTATATTGATAGCCGCCGCAACCGCCGTTTTCGTCTGATTTAGCTCCGTGTGACTTCTGGCTATTCAACAAACTCAAACGACCACTCTGGGGAAACTGTTTTCAGTTAATTGAAGACATTAAACGTGAATAACTATGCGCATTAAATGCTATACCAGAAATTGATTCTAACGACTGTTTCGAGGATTGGGGAAAAATGGTATAACTGTTTTGGGGCCAATGTGGGCTAATTTGAATGGAGCGACAAAGATTTTAAAGAGTAAATTAAGAATTTTAAAATTATGAACACAGGCTTACTATTTTTGCTCATGAACCAAACACTCTCGACAACAGGAGAGATTATAAATTTGTTCATCGTGAAAGATAATTTAAAGTTGTTGCAATGTAAGTATGCATAAGCCTATATATAATATGTATATATTATAATAAGATAAATAAATATTTATTGCTAATTTATTCATACATATATATATTCACTAAAATTTTGAAAAACCAGTTTTACACATAATTATAGATGTATTGAAGGCATGAAATGAAATGTATTAAAAATGTAGTATTATATATGCACACATATGAGTGTATTACTCTTTTACAACTGCTATTTTTATGCAGCATTATATTATTAGGTGTCTGTCATTTTAGAGAAACATGTTCAATACGAACGTTACATCACATTTTCACAATACTGGAGTTATCTGAAAACTAATAAGTTTATCGCAAATTGTGGAATCGTCAGTTAACGGTTGTTGGAGGTTTCAGAGTATTTAGAGAGTTTTTGTAATTTCATTGAGTAGTTTAGAAAAAATGTGTAGTGGAGATCTCATCCTATTTTCTTACTATCGTAAATTATTGAAAAATTGAGACCTAAAACTAGTACAAAGGGGACTAAAAGTAGACATAGACGATAGAGATGTAAGCTAAGAAAACATTCCCACCGAGCATTATTGAGAAGTCATATAATACTGATAACACAGTACAACAGCTAATCTGGGGGGTGAGAAATTCCAAGTCAGGGTGATGGTACTAGGTCAGTATAGTAAAACCCTCAAAGGGTTTGGCGTTCGTATGTGTCAGTTTTTTTTATGACCTTTTAAATTTTTTCCTTATCTCCCATGGTTTTCCATCTTAACAAATTAATTTTTCCAATCAGGCGTACTAATTTACTTATTTCAAACGATACTTATTCTCTACTTATTTTATTGAAATATCTGGCGTACACGACAATGTATAGATGTACTATATCCGATATATCTAACCGTAGCGATGGTGATCATTATCTCGATATACCTTTAGTAGGAGAAGCCAGTGGATGTTTTTATAAATTTGTTAATCTTAAATTACACTTACCTAAGCGAAAGATATTAGTATGTAAGAAGGTATATAAAAAAACAAAATAATTTAAAAAACAACGCGCTTTGCCGTGGTGTCATGGATAGAGATGCTCAGAATTAATATTTGTTATGAAACTTTATTAACATACATCGAAAATAGCGTAAATTAATTTATTATTATTAGTTTCTTACCAAATTTGTAACATTCAGAAAAAACATCAGAAACCTTATATACGATACACCATGTAACTGTACAAGCTCCGAAGAAATTGTTAAGGTATAAAATACAAACTAACCTATCATAATGAAGTTTTTGTACGGAAATTTTGTTTATGAACGAAGTTACCCTTTTTCTTGTTTCGTTTTCATTGCTTTTGATTGAGTTTTATTTTATAGAGCTACACAAATTTTGCAATTTTTTGCATTGGGAAACTTGAAATAAGAATTATGAAAAAGAAAATATTTACCTTTTAGGAGGCGTACAGTGATAGTGCCATTTTAAAACATTTTAAAGTATGCTATAAAATACTATAAAAATTGAACGTTTCAAACAAAACAAAGTTGTCTCTTCTAAAAAATTATAATTTATAAATGATAACTTGACCATAAACTATAATATAGTCGAATTACAGTGGCGAACAACTTTTAACAGTTTCATACAAAACCATTTTAAAACAACCAAGAATTTTATGCAAGAACAAATCGAGCTTACAATTTGTATTTTTCTATATGTACATATATGTAGTAGAGTGGGCAAAAAATAAGACTTTATAATATAAATTTTGCGCGAAAACTCATTCATTGATATTTTTTTTCTGTGCCAAATGACACATCAAAATAATCATTAGTGTTTAGTATACGCTTGTTTTCTGAAAATTTTTACAATGACTGAAATGATCCAACAAAGAAGTCCCATTAAATTTTGTTTTGCGGAATTAAATTTCTGTTCAGAATATTGAAAAAGACTTTCAGTGATAATTCTTTGTCACGAGCAAGTGGTTTTCGTTGTTACAAAATATCCGAAGATGAGAATAGAGGACGCAATGACGACAAACCACAGCATCAGTAAGTCAATAACATAAAGGAATTAATACTTGACAATCGAAGATTGACAGTGAGAGATCATCGCGTTAACGTCTGTGAAACAATACTTTAGAACTACGTGGCAAAGGTGAGACGAAGACAAAAAACCGCGTCAAAGCACAGTTTTCTTTAATTATCGAGGTGCACTCCGAATTTTATTTGAGTGTTTGCGCGAAGCTATTCGTAAAAAAAGAATTATGGGCCGACAACTCTTGGTTGTTGCACCAAGATTATATAACGTCGCGTACTGCATTGTTTCTTCGTGAGTTTTTCGCCTAATTTTCTACCAATATCGTGCCGCAACCGCCGTATTCGTCTAATTTGGCTCTGTGTGACTTCTGGCCATTCAACAAACCCAAACGACCGCTCCGGAGAAACCATTTTCAGTTAATTGAAGACAAACATGACATAAGTATATTGGGGCCAAGGGGGATAAATTTGAGTGAAACGATTAAGGTTTTGAAGAATAAATTAAGAATTTTAAAATTATGAACAAAGCCTTACTCTTTTTTAATCATGGTAGTAAATAAGTAAACTTTATTCTAAGGAATTACTATAATTTGCAATTTGTGGATTATAATATATGGTTTAAAATTGATATGATAAATATGTTGAAAATTTATGGCGTAGTATTTTATACATATATATTAGTTATAAATCAAATATTGTTTAGAAATTGTTTATTCGGTCAAGTTACTGAGTATTATGAAGAAGGGAACCATGTAACACTTAATTTTAGAGATATTCTGAGTTAAAAAGAAGTCATATTGTTTCTTAAAGAAAAATAACTAGAAATATTATGTAAAATTTTGAAGAAAATCTGACAAATACCAGTCTTTTACTCGATATTTCCTAATCCTTTCATGTGCGAAAATAGATCAATGTACAAGGTGCTTTCCAAAATAAACAGAAACCCCCTGTTGGCGCCAGCTATAATGTCCACTGGCGCGTTAGAATCTGCTATCTTTATCGATTGTTCAGTGATAATTCATTGATTGGACGTGAAGTTATTGCGTTTTAAGTGTCTTTAAGTTAAGTATGGTTGTGTTATCGGTAAATAAGCTTCAGACAATGTTAGCTCTAAATTTTGTTTTAAAATTGATAAAACTTTTGCCGAAACGTATCAATTGATGAAACATGTTTATGGCGATGATTGTCTATCCCGTAGCAGAGTGCACGAGTGGTTTGAATCCATGATCACCGGAAATTCCATCGAGACTGTGATTGAATTCATCAAAAATCATCATTGAAATTCATGGAAATGGAATTGAACATCTCCGAAACATCGATTTAGATTTTGACCGAACATTTGTCTTTACCAAAGTTGTGTGCAAGGTTTGTTCCGCACAAATTGACTGACGACCAAAATTTGCTCAGAATCCAACATTCGATCGAGGCTTGTGACCGATTATTTTACCAAAAATCACATTTTAACCATTAACCCCTTCCCGTATTCACCTGTTCACCTGATATGGCATCGTGCGATTTCTTACTTTTCGAAAAAATGCATTTGCCCAGGAAAGAAAAGCGTTTTGCTGACGTAGAGGCCATTGAAAAGGCTTGCACCGGCATACTGGCGGCCAACGAGCTGAAACACTCGTTCAACATGGTTTTGGACCGTGCAGAAAGCTGTATTGAAGCAAAAGGAGACTATTTTAAATAAAATAAATTTATTTTGTTTACTTTGGAACGCACCTTGTATTCGGTTTCACCGAAGTTTACTTATTTTAATTCTATTAACGAAAACACTTACCTATTGCAGCTGCTTGTGTCAATGTTACTGGCACCGATAGCAGCATAACTATAATAAACAATAGCACACTTCGTGCTGATATTATTTTTTTACTGCATACGCTTCGAGGTTGCGCTTTGGATGACGATGGACATACTTTGCTCGGGAAATGCAACGATTCATGACTATACAACTTCGGCTTGTGCAGCGGAAAAAGCGTCCGAATCTGCAATGATCCACATCTACAACGCAGATATAGCATATCTCGCTATTAAGACAGTGTACTGCTTTCGTTGTTATTAGAGATTGTCAAGGCCTTTTGCGCCTGAAATAAGAAATGTACTTTGATTATAAAGTATTATATGTATTAGACATTTTATAACATCGATTTAAAACATCTTAATTTTTATGCTCCCTTCCCATTAAAAACTGACGATCTTATAGATAAGGTTTGGTTACGATTATATTTAATTAAGAAAAAAATGCAGATTTCTACTCGGTTTAAAATAATTATATTAAATAAAATACTTTCACCGAAAACTAAAGTGGAAGATATTAAGAAATAATATATTCGACATGAAATTTGTATTGAAATATTCTCACATACATTTCAATTTTAAACACGAAAGAAAAAAGTCTTCAGAAAGCCGCCCTTCGTTAAGGAACTATTTAAATATGTTTCAAAACTAATACAAATTTGTTTTTAGTTATTGAGCGATGTAGTTGAATTCATTTATATTTTAAAAAAAACTTACTCTAAAAAGTTTAGTATACTTTTTAACTCCATTTAAATTTAAAAACATTGTTAGAGATCTCGTTGTGAAAATAAATTAGTTATTATTGTGACACATATTCACTATGTTTATGCGTAGGGGAATAACGCATTTTTTTATACAATTTTAACTCCAAATTAAATATAAGGCGCCCGTCGTAACTGTGATCGGTGGTCACTAATTCGCCGATCATTCGGTGAAGTAAATTCGCTTAACCTATTATCTGCTGTTTATTCATACGCAAGTGTATATATTTGTCATGCATAGGAAAATAAATACTATTAAAGCTTTCAAGTAAGAAAACTTTAACATTCACTTTGAAACCGGATATATATATGTACATATTAATTTCTCACAAAATAGAGTCGAACTTGTATAACTCGTACTTCTTTTATATATGATTTCAAAATAAGTGTATTCCGTGGGTAAAGCTAAAATAAAGCGTGCCAGTGAGACATACAGCTTAATATCCAAAATTCAAAGCGTATACATTCCTGACAATATAATTTACTTCTTCACCAAAACCTCAAACGTTAATTTTATGGAATAGGATAACTAGGTCATGCATAACCTTACTGCCTTATATATTTTACTTTTCTGCTGCGATTGAGCTATTACTTCTATAAATAATTGCAACATGATAAATTGATGCGGTATGATAAAAAAGATTTTTTCATTATCCTTTTTATTATATGGAATATTTTATTTGTTAAAAGTTCATACTGTAGTATTGAGTCATGGCCTTTACCGCTACATTCAATTGATTATACGTATACAACACGTACGGTGGATATTCCAGCATTACTATATTATGCTAGGTGATCAAGTTTTTATTAAATTAAGCACGCTATGCAAATTTACTTTTTAATAAATATTCAATTCATTGAAAAAATGAAACGAAACTCTTAATACCTTGATTTCATCCTATGAAACTGAATATGATAAGAGAAAGCGTATCAACTATTATGATGAATTTGGTGAAAAGTAAAGGCAAAATAACAGAAAAGATTCCATCTACGGAAGTTTTAGAGTATGTGTAATATTTATGATTTTATACACTTAGTTGAGGGAGTTACGCTAAGCTTAGCTGGCCAAACTTGAATGGCTTAATAGCCAAAAAACATTATTTGCAAGTTACCAATCTTGTGACAGTTATATTATTTCTATTAGCAAATCATTAGCTTATGTACAAATAGATATATGTATATTGAATTCTCTATGTCTTAGCAAACATAATGCTAATTTATGTTGCAGGTATTAATGAGTGTACATACTTGACCAGTTTTCTTCACCACTACTTTATAGGAACTCTGTTTTTTTAGTTTATACTCTTGCGCATATGTTTCTTACTTATTTTTTGCACATTAATTACTTAAATTTTTAAATTTACTTTTATATAAAAATTCGTAACAATGGAGTATTAAATTTGCAAAAATTTAAAAATAGATATACTGCTTTGCCACATCTATTAACGCACTTATGCCGTAGGTATTTTTATTTAGCTTTCATTTCGTTCGTTCATTAAAGACATAAATATATTCGGAGTTCAGATACGCAACCGTACAAGCTGAATGTAAGTTCATCAACTGATTAACTATATGTCGGCGACTTCGTGTAAAACTTGTATCACTGTGCTTCTCTTTAATAAGTTGATAGCAAAATCAAAACCGCTTTTGCGCCTCTGCTGACTTTTGCTGGTATGATTGGACAACGTAGTTGTGGATGTTGCTACCAATGTTGATAATGGTGCAGTTATGAAGTTCTAAATAAATGGGTGATGTGTGCGCAAGCGTGTAGTCACTAGAGCCACTGCTGTAAGTGCTAAAAATAATATTGTAAATATATGTATATTGTATTCATTTAGTTTGCATTATATTTGTATGGCAGCTACATGTTTCAGTGATCCGATCTGCACAATTTCTTCGGAGATTGCATTGTTGCCTCAGATATCCATACAAGCACTTGCTTCCGATCGTTGAGTATGAACGGTAACTATATGCTGTAGTATTCCGATATCGGCAAAATTTCATATAGATATCTGAAAAACTGAAGGACTAGTTCGCGTATATAGACGGACATGGGTAAAAAGACTCAGATCGTCACGCTAATCATTTAGATATGGTATAAATTTGCCGGGTTTCCGTTGTTTCCTTCTGAGTGTTACAAATATGATGGAAAACTTGATATACTTGTACCACGTTCTGATTCTAATGCTCCTTGATAAGAAAGGAAAGGCATTACATTAACACTAGCTAATAGTTTAAGTCAATAATATTTTAAAATAAGAAAAAGGATATATTCAGTTGCACCAAAGTTAAAAAAGGTTTACATACAAGAACCTTATTTGTATCGTGGCCTTAGACAATAAACCGCACCATATCGTTAAGATATCTTGTCAAATAAAAAAAGTTCTCCATACAAGGACTGAAAACCGATCGAGCAGTTTGTACGGCACCTACATGCTATGGAAGTCCGATTTGAACAATTTTCTCTGAGTGCGTAAATATGTAATAATTGCAATAAATGCCCATCTTCCTATGTACACGAGTGCTCTTGAAAAGAGTTATAATTTATACATAAATTTGTATAGGCATTTATCAAAGCATAATATGAATTTTATATACAAGTGCATACTTATGTAAGGCATAGTTATTTGTCCGGATGAGTCTCATTAACTTGGAGGACGGAATCATGTGTAGAAGTTCACGAAAGTCGAAAGTTGCCATTCATTTGGGAGTGACCAGAAACGATTCTTTTACATATGGCTTAAGCAGCTCACAACTTCCGGTTCTAGACCAAATATTCTCTGGGCAGCCTAAAAAAATCCATTCGAAGGCGAGCTAAAGTAAGAAAGCGAAATATCCCCTACTCAGGGTTGTGCGCTGGGTTTGGGACCCGCCACGGAAAAAACGCTTCCAATGAAAAGATACCAACTACCTCGGATGGGAGACCCCCTTTTGATGACGACCACAGCAAACGAAACGACGACATTGACAAGACAGCGGCTATGCTGGCTAGGTCATGTTGTTCGATTAGACGAAAACTCTACAGCTCTGAAATTACTAGGTGCAGTACCCGCTGGGAGAAGCAGAGGAAGACCTCCACTGCATTGGAAGGATCAAGTGGAAAAAGTGGATTCTTAGCTTCGCTTGGAATATCCAATTGGCGCCACGTAGCGAAAAGAAGAAACGACTCGCGCGCTGTTGATAACTCGGCTATAATCGCGGAAGCGGTGTCTACGCCAATAAAGAAGAAGAAGAGGCGCATTAACTTCAATAAAAGCGTTTGGCACAAAAAACTACAAAAAAGGCAGTTAGTTGAAAGGGGCGTTATCGGGAAGTTCGAAAAATTAATTGCTTCCTTTACTGTATATTTAACTAAATAGTTTCATATCCGAATGAAAGCTTAAATTAAAAACATTATTAACAGAAGTCACACAGTTCTTGTTAACTTAAGTTGTTTGAAACAGAACGTGAAACGATTTTCTTGCCGATATTGTTCTATGTCCATCATTTCGTTCAGTTAAATGTACTGAAAAACTTCCATTTTGAGATATAGGGCATGCAACGTAAGGTCTTCTCACTTTCTATTTCGGTACTTCGCAACGAAGCAAGACATGTCATTCGATTAGCAGTTATCGATTGCTTGTACGCTGCTGTTTTGTCAAAAATTTACACAGAAAACCAACAAAAAAGTGATCGAGTTTATTCACTCCTACAATAACTCCTACTTCCCATATAACACGGAATACAATTTCGCACTAATAATTCTTATAAAGTATGCCAAAAATTGTCCAAGTCCAAAAATGTCCAAAATTGTTCAGCCCCTTAGGTACGGAATATATGGACCCCAATACCTATAGTTGACGTTTGGCCGAATATGTCATTCAATGAAATTCAGATTCCTGACAATAGTATTTCTTTTAATCAAAAAATGGGTTGAATTTGGTCAATACTTTTCTGAGCCTCATATACCTCAACATATGAGTGCCCCAACATACGAGTTTTTCGAGATACGAGCCGACGAGCAAGTTATTTTTTGCTTTTAGTTACGAGCGATATTCGAGATACGACATAAGCAAGGTTGCGGAACGAATTAAACTCGTATGTCGAGGTACGACCGTATTATATTTTTCGATATTCTAGATGACTGGACATATCAGCCAGTTTTTGAGTTTGAAAGTTTCAGAACATGTTTTACTCATAATTATCATTGAGCATGAAAAAGATTGGGTGAAAACTTGACCTACCTCCATATAACTTTTGTCATAATTTTCAAACATCCACTTGACATCGTTCCATATGATTGGTGATTGTATGTAAAGTATCTTAATTAAACCCAGGGAACATTTTTGGAGTATGTGGCATATTAGTAGTATGTGGGATGAGTAAAACTATAAAAATAAAATACGGTTGCACACGAACATAACCTCTCCTTACTTGTTTTTATTTTTAATTTTTTCAAATTTTAATTTGCTCTATCCAGTCCTGTGAATTTTGTTCTTCTTTTTGCGTAATATTTGTACAAAATAAGTGAATGAAATAGTTTATATAGTTCATATATGTTTTTCATACCAATAAACGTAAAACCTAGTCCACATCAAATACTAATCTTTTTTATTTTTTAGACACAATTTTTTGTGTTTTTTCAATATCCGGCATTGAAAATTTTTTAAATTAAAACACCCAACATTTATACAATTAAAAATTATTTTATATTGGAATTCTAATATTCCGCGAAACTATTTAAATCGGTTTTTATGATTGTATGGTATATTAAAACAAGTGATTTTAGAACTTTTAATACTTAATAAGTTGAATTAAGCCTGCAAGTTCTCAATAAATAATCGTTTTTAATAATGGGTATTTGAAAACTAATATTACCATGCATCACATAACAAGGCGTTTCATGAAAGGGACCTTGAACGGTGGCAACAAATCCCTCCGTTCACATTTACTTTCGGTATAATTTCGATTTGACAGTTCCAGTCAATCCAATTGCAAAACGTCAAAACCTACCAAAACCTACCAGATTCAGTCAACTGTAGTTTGGTAGGTGAGCGGTTCTCACATTTCCAGTAACAGAATAGTTGGGCATCTCTTTATCTCTGCATTGACGTTACCAACTTCAGTCGTAAGTCATTTGAATTTTTCACGTGCCAAGAATTTAGTGCTTCGAAAAAAAATTGATTTGTTAGAGAGAGACAAAGAAAGTTTATGAATCTACAGTAGGAAGGCGGTGATATAGTATCTGTGTTATAGTTTAGTATCTGTATAAATGAAATGAAGAAATTGAATTTAAGAAGAAGATTTTTTATCTCTTGGATTGAAGAGAATATTTTCCGCTGTGAGCGACATAAACGAATTCAATGGCAGTTCCATAACATGCAAGGAGAGAACTCCACGCAGCTGAAAAAGATTTTAAAAAAGTATTCTGTTGATGGATATGAGAGATAAAGAGATACCCAGCTCATCATTCATTGGAAGTGAGAGGGCAATTGCTAAACGTCAAAACCTCTGAACCAGAGATAATGACTCCTCCCCAACTCCTCTCTCACTGCAAGTGAGAGGCCAATTGCTAAACGTCAAAACCTACCGAACTTTGACAGTTGACTGGATTGAGTAGATTTTGACGTTTTGCAATTGGAATGTCTGGAATGGCCAGATTGAAATTATACCAAAAATATATGTGAACGGAGGAATTTATTGCCGCCGTTCAAGATCGCTAATAAAAATTTAAAATAATGAAAATCAAAGAAAATGTGAAATTCAAATATATATTATGAAACGTTTTGTAGTTTGATGCATAATAGAATTAATTTTCTATTACAAATGATTAAAAACATTTATTAATTTAGAACTTACAGCCTTAATTCACCTTATTAAGTATTGAAATTTCGAAAGTCAGTTGTTTTAATATACCATAAAATCATAGAAAGGATTTAAGTAGTTTCGCCATATATTAAAAGTCCAATATATAATAATTTGCAATCGTAATAAATGTTGGGTATTTTAATTTAAAATGTCCAAAAATTCTTATTTGGTGCGATATGGCCATAATGGAAAATGTTATAAAAAACGCTTATTTTGAGGCGCTCTCACACTGGAATAAGTTGGGCATCCCATTATCCCTGCTCTGAACTTTGATAAGTGATCGAGTTCGAGAGGTTTTGACGATTAACAATTGGAAGCGAGCGTTAGCCAGATTGAAAACTTACCAAAAAATAAATGTAAACAGAAGGATTTCTTAAAAAAATAACTAATTTTACATCTCCTGATGCTGTTCTCTAGGCTGGTGAAACTCTGAAGGCTGCGGTGCGGTGATCTCGGCATCGTATAGTAAGATACTGATTGTCGTCGAGATCAGGAGCTTTCTCTTTTCTTGGCTGGGGCTTCCTATGTTAGATATTAACCGGCTCAGTTGAGAGGTGATTTTCGCTGCCTTTCCTGCGGCGTGCTGGATTTCTACCCAGAAGGCAAGTCTGGGGTCCAGTCTTACGCTTAGGTAGCTTACTGCTATCTGTGTCCTAAGAATATCCGTAATTGTGTGAATGGCATTTCAAGTACTAATATAGCGTCATAGGTGATGTTCCACAAATATGGGCCTCGAATTGAATCCTTTTATATCTACGGTTTCAATGACGCGTTTTATAGTTCCTATAGTTGATCTGCCAG